GACCTCTCTCTCTCTGAGTCGTCCTCTCACTCTGAGTCGTCCTCTCTCTCTCTGATTCGTCCTCTCTCTCAGTCGACCTCTCCCTCTCTGAGTCGCTCTCTCTCTGAGTCGTCCTCTCTCTCTGAGTCGTCCTCTCTCTCTGAGTCGACCTCTCTCTCTCTGAGTCGTCCTCTCACTCTGAGTCGACCTCTCTCTCTCTGAGTCGACCTCACGCTCCGAGTCATCATCTCTCTCTGAGTCGTCCTCTCTCTCTGAGTCGACCTCTCTCTCTGAGTCGTCCTCTCTGTCTCTGAGTCGTCCTCTCTCTCTTTGAGTCGTCCTCTCTCTGTGTGGTGGTAGTGCAGCACAAGTCAACATGACTACTACTACTATTATTATTATTAAACGTGGTTCTCAGGTGCAGAGACTGGGATGGTCTCAGCCCCGGTCTAAACTCAACAAGGTATATTGTGCAGTGACTGGGATGGTCTCAGCCCCGGTCTAAACTCAACAAGTTTATTGTGCAGTGGCTGAGATGGTCTCAGCCCCAGGTCTAAACTCAACAAGGTTTATTGTGCAGTGGCTGGGATGGTCTCAGCCCCCGGTCTAAATTCAACAAGGTCTATTGTGAAGTGACTGGGATGGTCTCAGCCCCGGTCTAAATTCAACAAGGTTTATTGTGCAGTGGCTGGGATGGTCTCAGCCCCCGGTCTAAATTCAACAAGGTTTATTGTGTAGTGACTGGGATGGTCTCAGCCCCGGTCTAAATTCAACAAGGTTTATTGTGTAGTGACTGGGATGGTCTCAGCCCCAGGTCTAAACTCAACAAGTTTTATTGTGCAGTGACTGGGATGGTCTCAGCCCCCGGTCTAAACTCAACAAGGTTTATTGTGTAGTGACTGGGATGGTCTCAGCCCCAGGTCTAAACTCAACAAGGTCTATTGTGTAGTGGCTGGGATGGTCTCAGCCCCGGTCTAAACTCAACAAGGTGTATTGTGCAGAGACTGGGATGGTCTCAGCCCCCGGTCTAAACTCAACAAGGTCTATTGTGTAGTGGCTGGGATGGTCTCAGCCCCGGTCTAAACTCAACAAGGTGTATTGTGCAGAGACTGGGATGGTCTCAGCCCCAGATCTAAACTCAACAAGGTTTATTGTGTAGTGACTGGGATGGTCTCAGCCCCGGTCTAAACTAAACAAGGTTTATTGTGTAGTGACTGGGATGGTCTCAGCCCCAGGTCTAAATTCAACAAGGTTTATTGTGTAGTGACTGGGATGGTCTCAGCCCCCGGTCTAAACTGAACAAGGTTTATTGTGTAGTGACTGGGATGGTCTCAGCCCCCGGTCTAAACTGAACAAGGTTTATTGTGCAGTGGCTGGGATGGTCTCAGCACCCGGTCTAAACTCAACAAGGTGTATTGTGTAGTGACTGGGATGGTCTCAGCCCCAGATCTAAACTGAACAAGGTTTATTGTGCAGTGGCTGGGATGGTCTCAGCACCCGGTCTAAACTCAACAAGGTTTATTGTGTAGTGACTGGGATGGTCTCAGCCCCAGATGTAAATTCAACAAGGTTTATTGTGCAGAGACTGGGATGGTCTCAGCCCCAGATCTAAACTCAACAAAGTTTATTGTGCAGTGGCTGGGATGGTCTCAGCCCCAGATCTAAATTCAACAAGGTTTATTGTGCAGAGACTGGGATGGTCTCAGCCCCAGATCTAAACTCAACAAAGTTTATTGTGCAGTGGCTGGGATGGTCTCAGCCCCCGGTCTAAATTCAACAAGGTTTATTGTGCAGTGGCTGGGATGGTCTCAGCCCCCGGTCTAAATTCAACAAGGTTTATTGTGTAGTGACTGGGATGGTCTCAGCCCCGGTCTAAATTCAACAAGGTTTATTGTGTAGTGACTGGGATGGTCTCAGCCCCGGTCTAAATTCAACAAGGTTTATTGTGTAGTGACTGGGATGGTCTCAGCCCCAGGTCTAAACTCAACAAGTTTTATTGTGCAGTGACTGGGATGGTCTCAGCCCCCGGTCTAAACTCAACAAGGTCTATTGTGTAGTGGCTGGGATGGTCTCAGCCCCGGTCTAAACTCAACAAGGTGTATTGTGCAGAGACTGGGATGGTCTCAGCCCCCGGTCTAAACTCAACAAGGTCTATTGTGTAGTGGCTGGGATGGTCTCAGCCCCGGTCTAAACTCAACAAGGTGTATTGTGCAGAGACTGGGATGGTCTCAGCCCCAGATCTAAACTCAACAAGGTTTATTGTGTAGTGACTGGGATGGTCTCAGCCCCGGTCTAAACTCAACAAGGTTTATTGTGTAGTGACTGGGATGGTCTCAGCCCCAGGTCTAAATTCAACAAGGTTTATTGTGTAGTGACTGGGATGGTCTCAGCCCCCGGTCTAAACTGAACAAGGTTTATTGTGTAGTGACTGGGATGGTCTCAGCCCCAGATCTAAACTCAACAAGGTTTATTGTGTAGTGACTGGGATGGTCTCAGCCCCCGGTCTAAACTGAACAAGGTGTATTGTGTAGTGACTGGGATGGTCTCAGCCCCAGATGTAAATTCAACAAGGTTTATTGTGCAGTGGCTGGGATGGTCTCAGCCCCGGTCTATACTCAACAAGGTCTATTGTGCAGTGGCTGGGATGGTCTCAGCCCCGGTCTATACTCAACAAGGTCTATTGTGTAGTGGCTGGGATGGTCTCAGCCCCAGGTCTAAATTCAACAAGGTTTATTGTGTAGTGACTGGGATGGTCTCAGCCCCAGGTCTAAATTCAACAAGGTTTATTGTGTAGTGACTGGGATGGTCTCAGCCCCAGGTCTAAATTCAACAAGGTTTATTGTGTAGTGACTGGGATGGTCTCCGCCCCCGGTCTAAACTCAACAAGGTTTATTGTGTAGTGGCTGGGATGGTCTCAGCCCCAGGTCTAAATTCAACAAGGTTTATTGTGTAGTGACTGGGATGGTCTCAGCCCCAGATCTAAACTCAACAAGGTTTATTGTGCAGTGGCTGGGATGGTCTCAGCCCCAGATCTAAACTCAACAAGGTGTATTGTACCAGCTCAAGTCCCCACTGAGCTCTACAACTCGTTGTCAGAAGCGACCCGGCTATCATAAATGATAGCTCAGCAAAGTGTCTCGTTATCATCATCATCATCACGTCGTGGGAATGTATGGCAGCCAATAACTCTAAACGCGGCGATTGCACCCACGGACCAAAAATTCGCGTCAACAAACCTCGTTTTTAACATTAATTTGGCCACATTCTACCTCTGAGCATATATGATACAATGTGCGTGTATACGTTTTTTTTGTCAACAAGGTGACTGCGTTGACTGTCACGGTACGTACACCGATAATCTGAGTTGCAGAGCGCCGTGTGGAATCACAGCGCCGCGTAGACTCAGGGCGAGGGGAACTTACTCAGGAAGGCGCTCTCAGAAGTTGCTCCTTGATGTCAACTTCCGCGAGCCGGGGTTCCCTGACACCGGGGACTTGGCGGGGTGAGGCGATGAGGCACCTCCTCGTCGATTCAGACTCAGAAAGTTGTATTTATCCCGAAGGATAAATCAGATGAGCTATGAAGCTCTTTCCCCTCCCCCACAGATGTCCCACTGGTTCATAAGTTCCAGAACACACGCGGTAAAGTCGCCGAGTTCGAATCCCGCTCACGGCCAACACCAGTGACGATTATCTGGACCGGTCCTGGGCCTCCCCTAGGTCGACTCAGCCTCAAATGAGTAGCTGGTAGTGGTGTGCAGTAAAACATCGCCACTGGGGGAGACAAAGGCGGCCGGGCGTAGTAAATAGCTGTAGATGTCTACATCACCGTGAGGGGGGTGTAAGACAAAGCCGGGCAAGGGGAGGGAGGTCGCCTCCTCCTCTGTCTGGTCACGAGTGCAGCTGAGCTTGCAGGCGGATTTGTAGGCACCATTAAGGAGGCACCCCAGGCTACTGCGTGGTTTATTGCAGCCAATAAACGAGAGAAGAGAGAGAGACAAGGGGGGGAGGGGTGGAACAGCCCATCGCACACACACACAGACTTTTAAGAACCGAAGTATGGAGGAGAAAAAATAAAAAATAAAATTCCGCAATTTTAATGAGACCTTAATAAGTGGTGCCCGTGATGAATGTCCCACCCCTCCCTCCCTCCCTCTCACTCTCTTCAAGCGTCTTCTGTAAAGAGTGGCTCAGCCTTCCTGCCCTTTGATGGTCGCCTGCGTGCCCTTGTGTGGTTTGTGTGTGTGTGTCTGTGCGCGGGTGTTGAGTTGTGTGTGTGTCGGTGCGTGGGTGTTGAGTTGTGTGTATGTGTGTGTGTGTTGGTTGGTGTGTGTTGGTGACCTGGGGAGACAAAGGCGGTCGGGCGTGGTGCTGATCGCGCACCCCCTCGCGTGCCGTGCCGGCCTTCATAGGCGCTGCTACTCTTTAACAGGACTTGCCCCAATAGCCTATTAAGGCTACACGGGGGATCTTTGTTTTTGCGTGTTGGTGTGCGTGTGGAGTTGCGTGTGGAGTTGCGTGTGGGTGTTTGTGCCAATAAAACTAACATTGCCAAAAAGACTATAACATGCCGATCCTTCTGAATGAGGCGCTCGCTAACAGCATCACGGTAGCTAAGAGATGTTAACTACCTCGCCTGGTGTGCAAGAGGTCGTGGGTTCGATCCCGACCCTGAAGCCTGCTGCTGCTGCTGTATATTTGGAGTCTGCGTGTCTCTCTCTCTCTCCCCATGATCGCGTGGATTTTTGCAGAGTCCTCTGAGTGTTCCCCTCCCACACTTGGAATCAACACCACCACGCGTTTGGAGTTATTTGTCTACCGCTGTACATTGCCACGTGATGACCCTGATGATTTGCCGATAGGCCAGGCGTCTCCTGAAACAGAGCTACACTGCTCAGTTGGGGCCCTTACCTCATCAACTAAAGCCACGCAAGGGGTGGGCAGCGGCGCCGGGGACGAAAGAGCTTCACGGCTCATCGGATTTCTCCGGTGCGAATAACCCTTGTGCGCGTTACCCCGCAGACGATCCTCAACTCCATGCACAAGTACCAGCCGCGGTTCCACGTGGTGCGTGCCAGCGAGCTACTCCGGCTGCCCTACTCCACGTTCCGCACCTACGTTTTCCCGGAGACGCAGTTCCTGGCCGTCACCGCCTACCAGAACGACAAGGTGGGTGACCCCGCGCGGCGTTAGTACACGGGCGGTGTTAGTCTATGGGGTGGTGTTAGTCTATGGGGTGGTGTTAGTCTATGGGGTGGTGTTAGTGTATGGGGTGGTGTTAGTCTATGGGGTGGTGTTAGTCTATGGGGTGGTGTTAGTCTATGGGTGGTGTTAGTCTATGGGTGATGTTAGTCTATGGGTGGTGTTAGTCTATGGGTGGTGTTAGTGTATGGGGTGGTGTTAGTCTATGGGGTGATGTTAGTGTATGGGTGGTGTTAGTCTATGGGGTGGTGTTAGTGTATGGGGTGGTGTTAGTCTATGGGTGATGTTAGTCTATGGGTGATGTTAGTCTATGGGTGGTGTTAGTCTATGGGTGGTGTTAGTCTATGGGGTGGTGTTAGTCTATGGGTGGTGTTAGTCTATGGGTGATGTTAGTCTATGGGGTGGTGTTAGTCTATGGGTGGTGTTAGTCTATGGGTGGTGTTAGTCTATGGGGTGGTGTTAGTCTATAGGTGGTGTTAGTCTATGGGTGGTGTTAGTCTATGGGGTGGTGTTAGTCTATAGGTGGTGTTAGTCTATGGGTGGTGTTAGTCTATGGGGTGGTGTTAGTCTATAGGTGGTGTTAGTCTATGGGTGGTGTTAGTCTATGGGTAATGTTAGTCTATGGGTGGTGTTAGTGTATGGGGTGGTGTTAGTGTATGGGTGGTGTTAGTGTATGGGGTGGTGTTAGTCTATGGGGTGGTGTTAGTGTATGGGGTGGTGTTAGTCTATGGGGTGGTGTTAGTCTATGGGGTGGTGTTAGTGTATGGGGTGGTGTTAGTCTATGGGGTGGTGTTAGTGTATGGGTGGTGTTAGTCTATGGGTGGTGTTAGTCTATGGGGTGGTGTTAGTCTATGGGTGGTGTTAGTCTATGGGGTGGTGTTAGTCTATGGGGTGGTGTTAGTCTATGGGGTGGTGTTAGTCCAAGGGTGGTGTTAGTGTATGGGGTGGTGTTAGTCTATGGGGTGGTGTTAGTCTATGGGTGATGTTAGTCTATGGGTGATGTTAGTCTATGGGTGGTGTTAGTCTATGGGTGGTGTTAGTCTATGGGGTGGTGTTAGTCTATGGGGTGGTGTTAGTCTATGGGTGGTGTTAGTCTATGGGGTGGTGTTAGTCTATGGGGTGGTGTTAGTCTATGGGTGGTGTTAGTCTATGGGGTGGTGTTAGTCTATGGGGTGGTGTTAGTCTATGGGGTGGTGTTAGTGTATGGGGTGGTGTTAGTCTATGGGGTGGTGTTAGTCTATGGGTGGTGTTAGTGTATGGGTGGTGTTAGTGTATGGGGTGGTGTTAGTGTATGGGGTGGTGTTAGTCTATGGGTGGTGTTAGTCTATGGGGTGGTGTTGTCTATGGGGTGATGTTAGTCTATGGGGTGGTGTTAGTCTATGGGGTGGTGTTAGTCTATGGGTGGTGTTAGTCTATGGGTGGTGTTAGTCTATGGGGTGGTGTTAGTCTATGGGGTGGTGTTAGTCTATGGGTGGTGTTAGTCTATGGGGTGGTGTTAGTCTATGGGGTGGTGTTAGTCTATGGGGTGGTGTTAGTGTATGGGGTGGTGTTAGTCTATGGGGTGGTGTTAGTCTATGGGTGGTGTTAGTGTATGGGTGGTGTTAGTGTATGGGGTGGTGTTAGTGTATGGGGTGGTGTTAGTCTATGGGTGGTGTTAGTCTATGGGGTGGTGTTGTCTATGGGGTGATGTTAGTCTATGGGGTGGTGTTAGTCTATGGGGTGGTGTTAGTCTATGGGTGGTGTTAGTCTATGGGGTGGTGTTGTCTATGGGGTGGTGTTAGTCTATGGGTGGTGTTAGTCTATGGGTGGTGTTAGTGTATGGGGTGGTGTTAGTCTATGGGTGATGTTAGTCTATGGGTGGTGTTAGTCTATGGGGTGGTGTTAGTCTACGGGGTGGTGTTAGTCTATGGGTGGTGTTAGTCTATGGGGTGGTGTTAGTCTATGGGTGGTGTTAGTCTATGGATGGTGTTAGTCTATGGGGTGGTGTTAGTCTATGAGGTGATGTTAGACTATGGGTGATGTTAGTTTATGGGGTGGTGTTAGTCTATGGGCGGTGTTAGTCTATGGGGTGATGTTAGTCTATGGGTGATGTTAAACTATGGGGTGATGTTAGTCTATGGGTGGTGTTAGTCTATGGGGTGGTGTTAGTCTATGGGTGGTGTTAGTCTATGGGTGGTGTTAGTCTATGGGTGATGTTAGACTATGGGTGGTGTTAGTCTATGGGGTGGTGTTAGTCTATGGGTGGTGTTAGTCTATGGGGTGGTGTTAGTCTATGGGGTTGTGTTAGACTATGGGTGGTGTTAGTCTATGGGTGGTGTTAGTCTATGGGGTGGTGTTAGTCTATGGGTGGTGTTAGTCTATGGGTGGTGTTAGTCTATGGGTGATGTTAGTCTATGGGTGGTGTTAGTCTATGGGGTGGTGTTAGTCTATGGGTGGTGTTAGTCTATGGGTGGTGTTAGTCTATGCGGTGATGTTAGACTATGGGTGATGTTAGTCTATGGGTTGATGTTAGACTATGGGGTGGTGTTAGTCTATGGGTAGTGTTAGTCTATGGGGTGGTGTTAGTCTATGGGTGATGTTAAACTATGGGGTTGTGTTAGACTATGGGGTGGTGTTAGTCTATGGGGTGATGTTAGTCTATGGGCGATGTTAGTCTATGGGTGATGTTAGTCTATGGGGTGATGTTAGTCTATGGGGTGGTGCTAGTCTATGGGGTGATGTTAGTCTATGGGGTGGTGTTAGTCTATGGGGTGGTGTTAGTCTATGGGGTGATCTTAGTCTATGGGCGATGTTAGTCTATGGGTGATGTTAGTCTATGGGGTGATGTTAGTCTATGGGGTGGTGCTAGTCTATGGGGTGATGTTAGTCTATAGGGTGGTGTTAGTCTATGGGTGGTGTTAGTCTATGGGGTGATGTTAGTCTATGGGCAATGTTAGTCTATGGGTGGTGTTAGTCTATGGGTGGTGTTAGTCTATGGGTGGTGTTAGTCTATGGGGTGGTGTTAGTCTATGGGGTGGTGTTAGTCTATGGGGTGATGTTAAACTATGGGTGATGTTAGTCTATGGGGTGGTGTTAGTCTATGGGCGGTGTTAGTCTATGGGGTGATGTTAGACTATGGGTGATGTTAGTCTATGGGGTGATGTTAGTCTATGGGGTGGTGTTGTCTATGGGGTGGTGTTAGTCTATGGGGTGGTGTTAGTCTATGGGGTGATGTTAGACTATGTGTGTTGTTAGTCTATGGGGTGATGTTAGACTATGGGGCGGTGTTAGTCTATGGGTGATGTTAGACTATGGGGTTGTGTTAGACTATGGGTGATGTTAGTCTATGGGGTGGTGTTAGTCTATGGGGTGGTGTTAGTCTATGGGTGATGTTAGACTATGGGTGGTGTTAGTCTATGGGGTGGTGTTAGTCTATGGGGTAGTGTTAGACTATGGGGTGATGTTAGTCTATGGGTGATGTTAGTCTATGGGGTGATGTTAGTCTATGGGGTGATGTTAGTCTATGGGTGATGTTAGACTATGGGTGATGTTAGTCTATGGGTAATGTTAGTCTATAGGGTGATGTTAGTCTATGGGGTGATGTTAGACTATGGGTGATGTTAGTCTATGAGGTGGTGTTAGTCTATGGGTGATGTTAGACTATGGGGTGATGTTAGTCTATGGGGTGGTGTTGTCTATGGGGTGATGTTAGACTATGGGGTGATGTTAGTCTATGGGTGATGTTAGTCTATGGGGTGGTGTTGTCTATGGGGTGATGTTAGACTATGGGTGATGTTAGACTATGGGGTGATGTTAGTCTATGGGGTGGTGTTAGTCTATGGGGTGGTGTTAGTCTATGGGGTGGTGTTAGTCTATGGGGTGGTGTTGTCTATGGGGTGGTGTTAGTCTATGGGGTGGTGTTAGACTATGGGGTGATGTTAGACTATGGGGTGATGTTAGTCTATGGGTGGTGTTAGTTTATGGGGTGGTGTTGTCTATGAGGTGGTGTTAGTCTATGGGTCATGTTAGACTATGGGGTGGTGTTAGTCTATGGGTGGTGTTAGTCTATGGGGTGGTGTTAGTCTATGGGGTGATGTTAGTTTATGGGGTGGTGTTAGTCTTGGGGTGATGTTAATCTATGGGTGATGTTAGTGTATGGTGTCTGCGTCTCTCTCTCTCTCTCTCCCCGTGGTCGCGTGGATTCTTCTGTGGGTCCTCCGGTTTTTCCCTCCACATTTAGAATCAACATCAGGCACGCGTTCAGAGTGTTTGTCTGCTGCTGCTGCTGCTGCTATGAATCCCCACGTGGTGATGAGCCGCCAACTTCGTTTGAGCCATCAATTGTGGCGGCCCAGGTGGCTTCTGAAAGAAGAGGAGCCACATAGAGCTCAGTGGACGTTGCTTGGTTAAAAAAATAAAAACATTCACTTTAGTTCATCTCACAGGAGCATGAACCATAGTCAGGCGACACTGCCGTCGGTAACAGCATCATCGTCGTCACGCGCCGCTTTCAGAGGCGCTTCGGTGGCCGTCTGGAACGCCTCTGCCCCTCCGATCATATGGGGAGCCACTGAGGGAGCTGTGATGCACTTTTAAAATCATCGTCGTGATCATCATCTGGATTGACGAACTCATTTCTTTAGAACTGCTCTGTGTTGTGTGTTGCCTCATTCGTCCTTCCGCCGGGCACCTCCGATTGGCACGGCCGGCAACGTACGGTGCGAAAGAAGTTCAACATGCAACACACATCACACGTACGTGCATATACATACGTGCCTGCATGCATTTCCGCGCCAGATAAATAATGTAGCGGCACCGGGGAGGGATTTATGGCCTGGACAGGCCATGTCCAGCATGGCCACGTGGGAGATGATTGAGTTGGCGGTGTGGGGGGCGGGGTTGGTGGGGTGCAGGGGGATGGGGGGGGGCCCGCGGTGTTGCCCAGACGTCAGTCAGTGACCGCCGAGGCTCACGTGGGCATTGTTAGCTGTGAAGTGGCCCCCTAATTCAATTTGGTGGCCACTGGGGCGGCCTAATGCGATCACTTAGCACGCGTTTACTTATACTGCCTGCTGACGCAGTGTGGGGGGGGGGAGGGGGGGAGGGTGGAGAGGGTGGGGGGGGGAGGGGGGGAGGGTGGAGAGGGTGGGGGGGGAGGGAGGGAGGGGAGGGAGGGAGGGAGGGAGGGGAAGTGGGGAGGGAGGGAAGATGGGGGAGGGGGGATAGAGGGGGGTAAAAGGGGGATATAAAGGGGGAGGGAGGCGGGAAGGGGTAATGGAGGGGAGGGTGGGGAGGGGAGGGGAGAATGAGGAGGGTGGGGAGGGGGGAGGGTAGGGAGGGTGAGGAGGGGGGAGGGGAGAGAGGGTGGGGAGGGTGGGGAGGGAGGGGAGGGAGGGAGGGTGGGGAGGGAGGGAGGGGAGGGAGACAACAACAACAACAACAAAGTTCTAGATTTGAAGCTGTTGTGACTGCAAGGATTCATATTTTTTGGGTTTTAATTCGGTAAAGTCACGTAGGTAAATTAAAACAATATAAAATAAAATCACGACGTTTCGGAGGCAACACAAGCTTCCGTCTTCAGGTGGAAAAGTCAACGCAGAATATCTGTGTCAGGAGCACAATTCCAGAGACAACCGGGATTGTATACAGGTTCAGGGAGGGGGGAGTAGTCAGTAAGGGGCGTGCGTGAGTGGGTGGGAGGGCCGGGCCACGCATCCTGTTGAAAGAACGCTGTGGGTAACACCCACGAATCCTAACATCGTTCATTGAAGCTCCGTCGTCCCGACAGGTCTGTTCCTTTCACCTGAAGACGGCCGCTTGCGTTGTGGCCGAAACGTCGTGAGAATTTTATTGTGTTATTATTTTATTATTCTCATTCTACGTGGTGGTGACTTTACCGAAAGAACCAAAGACGATGAATCCTTGCAGTGACGCAAGCTTCAAATCGAAATGTAACACCCACTTCTCCAAACCAAACAATAACAACAACAACAAACGCTGCCCCCGCGTAGCCTTCACGGGGCCGTTGGTGAGGGCAGCAAATGGCAGCGGGCCAACGCCGAGAGGGCACGGCCGTGGGGGTGACCAGCGACCACGCCCGGCCGCCTTTGTCTCTCCCCGCCACCCCTTCCCCCCCCCCCCCCCCACCACAACCAAAGCACCGATGTCTGCACGCCGCGTCACGCCAAGTCGACCCAGGGGAGAGACTCCAGCACCGATTCGGATCGCGGTTTTTTGTTGTTGTTGTTGTTGTGTTTGTGCCACCGTTGTTTGGTGGCCGCGAGCGGCAACGGGGTTTGCGGCGCGGCGCGCTAACCGCTGCGCCACCGCTCTCTCCACGCGAGGCACACCCAGACGAGGGCGCTGCAGTGGCTAGGAGATGTTGACTACCTCGCCTGGTGTGCAGGAGGTCGTGGGTTCGATCCCGACCCTGACGCCTGCTGCTGCTGTATATTTGGAGTCTGCGTCTCTCTCTCTCTCTCATCATCATCACGGTGGCTATGAGATGTTGACTACCTCGCCTGGTGTGCAGGAGGTTGTGGGTTCGATCCCGACTCTGACAGCCTGCTGCTGTATATTTGGAGTCTGCGTCTCTCTCTCTCATCATCATCACGGTGGCTATGAGATGTTGACTACCTCGCTTGGTGTGCAGGAGGTTGTGGGTTCGATCCCGACTCTGACAGCCTGCTGCTGTATATTTGGAGTCTGCGTCTCTCTCTCTCTCATCATCATCACGGTGGCTATGAGATATTGACTACCTCGCCTGGTCTACAGGAGGTCGTGGGTTCGATCCCGACCCTGACGCCTGCTGCTGCTGTATATTTGGAGTCTGCGTGTCTCTCTCTCTCTCCCCGTGGTCACTGCGTGGATTTTTTCTCCGGGTCCTCCGATTTTTCCCCTCCACATTTAGAATCAACATCAGCACGCGTTGAGAGTTAATTAGCTGCTGCTCTACATTTCCACATTGAGCTATGCATTGTTCTCAGTGAGGCCTTAGCTGGTAAAATGAACCACAGTTCAGTAGTTGATGGTTTGGTTTTATTCTCGCCACTAACGTGACGGGTGACGTCTCCGTGGCCAGACGAGGTGCACTTTGTGCCGTGGGTAGCGGACTAGGCCGTATACACCCGGAGCTGCGCGCGTTACATGGCCACAATAAAAACAATAAAACTATCAAGGAGCGCGTGTCATCCGTCGACCCCCATGCGCCACCTTGTATGGACAGCAGGTAATCAACAGAAGCTGCAGGGTAAACGGCCAGGATTTAGATGGGGTGTGATGGACAATTTAGAGAGGTGAGTTGTCAAGACGACTTAAATAATATCTCCAACGACTCCCAGTGTCTTCTTAGCAGGCAACAGCTCGATCACTCACCCACTCACTCACCCAGTCACTCACCCAGTCACTCACCCACTCACTCACCCAGTCACTCGCCCACTCACTCACCCAGTCACTCACCCAGTCACTCACCCACTCACTCACCCACTCACCCACTCACTCACCCATTCGCTCACCCACTCACCCAGTCACTCACCCACTCGCCCACTCACTCACCCAGTCACTCACCCACTCACCCAGTCACTCACCCACTCACTCACCCAGTCACTAGCCCACTCACTCACCCACTCACTCACCCAGTCACTCACCCACTCGCCCACTCACTCACCCAGTCACTCACCCACTCACCCACTCACTCACCCAGTCACTCACCCAGTCACTCACCCAGTCACTCACCCACTCACTCACCCAGTCACTCACCCAGTCACTCACCCACTCACTCACCCACTCACCCACTCACTCACCCAGTCACTCACCCAGTCACTCACCCACTCACTCACCTACTCACCCACTCACTCACTCAGTCACTCACCCACTCACTCACTTACTCACCCACTCACTCACCCAGTCACTCACCCACTCACCCAGTCACCCAGTCACTCACCCACTCACCCGCCCACTCACTCACCCATCCACTCACCCACCCAGTCACTCACCCACTCACCCAGTCACTCACCCACCCATCCACTCACCCGCCTACTCACGCACCCATCCACCCTCCCACCCTCTCACTCACCCACTCACTCACCCAGTCAATCACCCACCCACTCACTCACCCACCCACTCACCCGCCCCCTTACTCACCCGCCCACTTACTCACCCACCCACCTATCCACCCACCCATTCACCCACTCACTCGCCCACTCACCCAGTCACTCACCCACTCGCCCACTCACTCCACTCCACTAACCCACTCACTCACCCACTCACTCGCACACTCAATCACCCACTCACTCACCCAATCAATCACCCACCCACTCACCCGCCCACTTACTCACCCACTCACTCGCCCACTCACCTACCGACTCACCTACTCGCTCACCCACCCACCCACAAGACAGACTGAAACATCTCTAACCACTCTGGTTGTCTGATCATTACCGAAGGGCACAAAGTGTTGCTGCGCCGTCTGGGAGCTGCGCAGTGACAGCCAACAGCGCGACCACTCCCAGCAGCAGCAGCAGAGCCGATGGAGCCCTAGCGAATCGTGAGAAGACGACGAAGACGAAGATCTCAGGGACGTGAGGGGCAGGGTCAGAGCAACGGGAGTCATTCCACGTTCCTCGGCCGAGGATAACAGAGCAAGGACCGCTCCGCTCCCTTACTGATCGCTCACCCCACTGACCGCCCCACCCTGTGCCCCCCCCCTCCCCACACCCCCCCCCCCCCCCCACCTTTCGCCCATCCTGACCCTCAGATCACGCAGCTGAAGATTGACCACAACCCCTTCGCCAAGGGCTTCCGCGACACGGGCAACGGACGTCGCGAGAAACGGTAACGGAGTTCCACAGAACGCCCCACTGCTCGCTGAACCCCCCCCCACCACCACCACCCCCCACCACCCCCCCACCACCACCACCCCCCCACCACCACCCCCCCCACCACCCACCACCACCCCCCCCCCACTCTGGTCTTCACCCTCACCCCCTCTCTCCTATCTCCCTATCGTCTGCTCCCACTCCTCTCTTCGACGGCTAGAGACGTTCCGGCTGGCCCTGCCTACGATCCATCCCTGGTTTGAACCTGCAGGCTGGATTGTGTAGAGGAGCTCACGGATCCTTGCGAGATCTCTGGACACGGTCCACATCTCCGTTGAGCTCCTCCGGCAGGCGACGCTGCGCTGGCTGGGTCACGCATGCCCAGCCACCGCTTGCCCAGCCACCGCTTGCCCAGCCACCGCATGCCCAGCCACCGCTTGCCCAGCCACCGCGTGCCCAGCCACCGCTTGCCCAGCCACCGCGTGCCCAGCCACCGCTTGCCCAGCCACCGCTTGCCCAGCCACCGCTTGCCCAGCCACCGCATGCCCAGCCACCGCGTGCCCAGCCACCGCTTGCCCAGCCACCGCGTGCCCAGCCACCGCGTGCCCAGCCACCGCTTGCCCAGCCACCGCGTGCCCAGCCACCGCGTGCCCAGCCACCGCTTGCCCAGCCAATGCGTGCCCAGCCACCGCGTGCCCAGCCACCGCATACCCAAACAGCTTCTGCTTGGCTGCACAGAGGGGGCTAAACGGGCACGTCACGGGCTTGAGAGAAGATGGAGTGATGGCTTTAGTGGGTGGGTGAGTGACACGGGCTATAGAAGAGATGGAGTGATGTGGTACAGGAGCACGTGGAGCTGAGTGGACTTGCCGATGACTGGTACCAGCGGTGTCAAGATCGGCCTCTGTGGAGGAGGCTCGTGAAGGACGCTACTGGGCAGTTGGAGGCAGTCGCCCTCCAGCAACAACGAAGGGCAGAGGAGCGACGCTCACAACAACGAGCGGAGCGCCGGGTGGCTAAAACACTACAGGTTGGCACAGTAGGGGGCACAGGTGGTGCATCAGCCAGTCATCTCAGTCATCTCAGTCAGTCGACCCATGGCACCTGGGACTGCCCCGTGACCTCCTGCCAGCAGGCGTTCGACACTTCACGTGGCCTTCGACACTTCACGTGGCCTTCGACACTTCACGTGGCCTCAACGTGCACCTAGCCTGGCACAAGCGCCGTGGTTACGTTACTGCCACTTAATGGCGAATGGCGGTTGTTGTTGTTGTTGTGATGGTGGTGGTAATGGTGGTGATGGTGGTGATGGTGATGATGGTGGTGATGGTGGTGGTGGTGATGATGGTGGTGATGGTGACAATAGTGGTGATTATAGTGGTGGTGGTGATGGTGGTGGTGGTGATGGTGATGATAGTGATGGTAGTGATGGTAGTGATGATGGTGGTGGTGATGGTGATGATAGTGATGGTAGTGATGGTGGTGGTGATGGTAGTGATGGTGGTGGTGATGGTGGTGATGATAGTGATAATAGTGATGGTAGTGATGGTGATGGTGGTGATGGTGATGATAGTGATGGTGGTGGTGATGGTGGTGATGGTGGTGGTGATGATGGGGGTGATGGTGGTGATGGTGACGATAGTGGTGATTATAGTGGTGGTGATGGTGGTGGTGGTGGTGGTGATGATAGTGATGATAGTGATGGTGGTGATGGTGGTGGTGATGGTGATGATAGTGATGGTAGTGATGGTGGTGGTGATGGTGGTGGTGATGGTGGTGGTAAAGGTGGTGGTGGTGATGATAGTGATGATAGTGATGGTGGTGGTGGTGATGGTGGTGGTGATGGTGATGATAGTGATGGTAGTGATGGTAGTGATGGTGGTGGTGATGGTGGTGATGGTGGTGGTGATGATGGTAGTGATGGTGGTGGTAATGGTGGTGGTGATGGTGGTGGTGATGGTGATGGTAGTGATGGTGGTGGTGATGATGGTGGTGATGGTGACGATTGTGGTGATTATAGTGGTGGTGGTGATGGTGATGGTGGTAGTGATGGTGGTGGTGATGGTGACGATAGTGGTGATTATAGTGGTGGTGGTGGTGATGGTGGTGATGGTAGTGATGGTGGTGGTGATGGTGATGGTAGTGATGGTGGTAGTGATGGTGGTGGTGATGGTGACGATAGTGGTGATTATAGTGGTGGTGGTGGTGATGGTGGTGGTGGTGATGGTGATGGTAGTGATGGTGGTGGTGATGGTGATGGTAGTGATGGTGGTGGTGATAGTGGTGGTGATGGTGATGGTAGTGATGGTGGTGGTGATGATGGTGGTGATGGTGACGATAGTGGTGATTATAGTGGTGGTGGTGGTGATGGTGACTATAGTGGTGATTATAGTGTGGTGGTGGTGATGGTGGTGGTGGTGATGGTAGTGATGGTGGTGGTGATGGTGGTGATGGTAGTGATGGTGGTGGTGATGGTGGTGATGGTGGTGATGGTAGTGATGGTGGTGGTGATGATGGTGATGGTAGTGATGGTGGTGGTGGTGATGGTGATGGTAGTGATGTGGTGGTGGTGATGGTGGTGATGGTGACGATAGTGGTGATTATAGTGGTGGTGGTGATGGTGGTGGTGTTGATGGTGGTGGTGGTGGTGATGGTGGTGGTGATGGTGGTGATGGTAGTGATGGTGGCGGTGGTGGTGGTGGTGATGGTGGTGGTGTTGATGGTGGTGGTGGTGATGGTGATGGTAGTGATGGTGGTGGTGATGGTGGTGGTGATGGTGATGGTAGTGATGGTGGTGGTAGTGATGGTGGTGGTAGTGATGGTGATGATGGTGGTAGTGATGGTGATGGTGGTGATGGTGATGATAGTGATGGTAGTGATGGTGGTGGTGATGGTGGTGGTGATGGTGATGATAGTGATGGTAGTGATGGTAGTGATGGTGGTGGTGATGGTAATGATGGTGGTGTTGATAGTGATTATAGTGGTGGTGGTGGTGGTGGTGATGGTGGTGATGGTGGTGGTGATGGTGATGGTGACGATAGTGGTGATTATAGTGGTGGTGGTGGTGGTGATGGTGATGGTAGTGATGGTGATGGTAGTGATGGTAGTGATGGTGGTGGTGATGGTGGTGGTGGTGGTGATGGTGATGGTAGTGATGGTGATGGTAGTGATGGTAGTGATGGTGGTGGTGATGGTGGTAGTGATGGTGATGGTAGTGATCGTGGTGGTGATGGTGGTGATGGTGATGGTGGTGATGGTGGTGATGATGGTGATGATGGTGGTGGTGATGGTGGTGGTGATGGTGGTAGTGATGGTGATGGTAGTGATCGTGGTGGTGATGGTGGTGATGGTGGTGATGGTGATGGTGGTGATGGTGATGGTGGTGATGGTGGTGATGGTGGTGGTGGTGCAGCAGACAGCTGGCCCTGCAGTGTCTCCGCGCCTTCGAGGAACAGGCACGGGGAGTAGCGCACCGAGGCCGCGGGGACTTTGACGATGACGACGACGAAGACCACGACGAGGAGGAGGAGGAGGAGGAGCAGAAAGAGCGACCCAGCCCCAACACAAGCCCCGAGCACAACACTCCGGGTGAGAGGCAACACTCCACAACACTCCTGAGAGAGAGACACAACACTCCACAACACTCCACAACACTCCCGGATAGAGAGACACAACACTACACAACACTCCAGGAGAGAGAGACACAACACTCCACAACACTCCCGGAGAGAGACACAACACTACACAACACTCCCGGAGAGAGACACAACACTACACAACACTCCACAACACTCCACAACACTCCTGGAGAGAGAGAGACACAACACTCCACAACACTCCCGGAGAGAGACACAACACTACACAACACTCCCGGAGAGAGACACAACACTACACAACACTCCACAACACTCCACAACACTCCTGGAGAGAGAGAGACACAACACTACACAACACTCCACAACACTCACGGAGAGAGAGACACAACACTACACAACACTCCCGGAGAGAGACACAACACTACACAACACTCCACAACACTCCACAACACTCCTGGAGAGAGAGAGACACAACACTACACAACACTCCACAACACTCACGGAGAGAGAGACACAACACTACACAACACTCCTGGAGAGAGCCACAACACTACACAACACTCCACAACACTCACGGAGAGAGAGACACAACACTACACAACACTCCACAACACTCACGGAGAGAGAGACACAACACTACACAACACTCCCGGATAGAGAGACACAACACTACACAACACTACACAACACTCCCGGAGAGAGACACAACACTACACAACACTCCACAACACTCCCGGATAGAGAGACACAACACTCCACAACACTCCCGGAGAGAGAGACACAACACTACACAACACTCCACAACACTCCTGGAGAGAGACACAACACTACACAACACTCCACAACACTCCACAACACTACACAACACTACACAACACTACACAACACTCACGGAGAGAGAGACACAACACTCCACAACACTACACAACACTACACAACACTCCACAACACTCCTGGAGAGAGAGACACAACACTCCACAACACTACACAACACTACACAACACTCCTGGAGAGAGAGACACAACACTACACAACACTACACAACACCCCTGGAGAGAGAGACACAACACTACACAACACTCCAGGAGAGAGACACAACACTACACAACACTCCAGGAGAGAGACACAACACTACACAACACTACACAACACTACAGGAGAGAGACACAACACTACACAACACTCACGGATAGAGAGACACAACACTACACAACACTACACAACACTCCTGGAGAGAGACACAACACTACACAACACTACACAACACTACAGGAGAGAGAGACACAACACTCCACAACACTCCCTGGGTGAGTTAAGTAGCTCTTGGATCGGGTTTCATCAACAAAAGCTTCGGTTCCCTGGCAAACGTAACACAACGTAACATAACTAACGTAACACAACTTAACACAGCGTAACACAATGTAACATAACGCAACATAACACAACGTTACGTAACACAACGTAACAAAACTTAACGTAACACAACGTAACGTAACACAACGTAACTCAACTTAACGTAACACAACTTAACACAACGTAACACAATGTGACATAACGCAACATACCACAACGTAACTCAACTTAACGTAACACAACGTAACGTAACACAACGTAACAAAACTTAACGTAACACAACGTAACGTAACACAACGTAACGTAACACAACGTAACAAAACTTAACGTAACACAACGTAACGTAACACAACGTAACAAAACTTAACGTAACACAACGTAACGTAACACACTGTAACGCGACGTAACATAACACACCGTAACACAACGTAACATAACGTTACATAACGCAACGTAACACAACGTAACAGGTCGCAAGAAAAACAAATACAAAGACATACATAATGAAGATAAATGCAACAAATCACTTAATGCAGAGTTTATATGATGCTGCTGCTGATGATGATGATACTACAACCCTTCTTGATGATGAAGGTGATGCTACTGCTGATGATGATGACGATGAAGGTGATGCTGCTGCTGCTGATGATGATGAAGGTGATGCTGCTGATGCTGATGATGAAGGTGATGCTGCTGCTGATGATGACGATGAAGGTGATGCTGCTGCTGATGACGATGAAGGTGATGCTGCTGCTGATGATGACGATGAAGGTGATGCTGCTGCTGCTGCTGTTGATGATGACGATGAAGGCGATGCTGCTGCTGATGATGATGAAGGTGATGCTGCTGCTGCTGATGATGATGACGATGAAGGTGATGCTGCTGCTGCTACTGCTGCTACTGCTGCTGCTGATGATGATGATGAAGGTGATGCTGCTGATGATGATGATGATGAAGGTGATGCTGCTGCTGCTGATGATGATGACGATGAAGGTGATGCTGCTGCTGCTACTGCTGCTACTGCTGCTGCTGCTGATGATGATGAAGGTGATGCTGCTGCTGCTGCTGCTGCTGCTACTTCTCGGCAACACAACAAACCCAAAGTTCCAAGTGGACACACGGCGACACCAACATTGGCACACAGATCGGCAGCCGTGGCAACGCGCCACGGTGACAACGTAACAAGCGCACAGCGACGCGACAGCATAACGCGTCGTCGTCGTCGTCGTCGTCATCGGCACCAGCAGCCACGATTCTTTCACTGCTCGTACGCACGTTGGACTTCCTTCGCACCGTACGTAGCCAACCACGCTCGACGGAGGTTCTCAGTGGAGGCTGCTTCCTGATATCGGAAGGAACCAAGAGGCGTTCCAGACGGCCGCAGGAAGCGAAGCGTCTGGAAGCGCCGCGCGACGATGACGACGATGATGATGACGATGATGATGATGATGATGACGATGATGATGACGATGTGATGACGATGATGATGACGATGATGACGATGACGATGATGACGTTAATGATGATGATGACGATGATGATGATGACGGTGATAATGGCGATGATGACGATGATGATGACGATGATGATGATGATGGCGATGATGACGATGATGATGATGGCGATGATGACGATGACGATGATGCGGTGACCGCCACCGTCTTTGTTCGACGGTTTAGCCAAAAGCCGCTGCTGCTGCTGTGAGGATGACGAGCGGAGTTTGCGTGATGATAATCATTATCATCATCATTATCATCAGCATCATCATCAAGAAGGGTTGTACGTAGCATCATTATCAGCAGCAACAACATTGGAAGCAGTCACGATTGATCCACTGCTCGCGAGCGGATTGCATCGCGCTCCGTCTCCACGGTGGATGTACCAAGCAGGGGCTCGCTCTATCAACCCCGTGTCTCGGAATCAAAATGCTTATTTAATTCAGCAGGAGGCACGGGGTCAGAAAGTTACAACACGAGTGGAAAATACGATAGGCGTGCAACTGATAGGAAAGGTGAACACATCACTAAACGTGAATAAGTAAAAGTAAAGTATAGTAACTTCACGTTGTGTCAGGACATCAGTTCCCAAGCTTGAGCAAGGCAACATTGAGTCGGATGATCTTCGTCTAAGTCTAAAGTGAACTTAGTCTAACTTGGTTTCAACTAAATTATGTTTTTAATCTTACCAGGCAAAGCCCACTGAGCTATTAGTTTATTTTTTCAGAAGCTACCTGGCCGCCACAAATGAAAGCAGCTCATCAATGTGATCATTATCATCATCATCACGCGGAAATTAATGCGTGGTGATGTTGATTCTAAATGTGGGAGGACCTGGAAAAAAATCCACACGACCACGGGGAGAGAGAGAGAGACGCAGACTCCAAATATACAGCAGCAGCAGGCGTCAGGGTAGGGATCGAACCCACGACCTCCTGCACACCAGGCGAGGTAGTTAACATCTCCTAGCCACCGTGATGATGATGAGAGAGGGATAGAACCCACGACCTCCTGTACACCAGGCGAGGTAGTTAACATCTCCTAGCCACCGTGATGATGATGAGAGAGAGAGACGCAGACTCCAAATATACAGCAGCAGGCGTCAGGGTCGGGATGGAACCCACGACCTCCTGTACACCAGGCGAGGTAGTCAACATCTCCTAGCTATCGTGGCACCCCGATATCAAGAATGTTTCTACCATCGAGGGGACGGTTATCATCGTGGTGGGTCTTGTATCGTGATCCCACGATATATCGTGACCCCACGATATATCGTGCTGAGTGGTGGGTGCTGTGACGCGTGGGCGCTCTGGGGGCCCCTCCCCGCGGTTTAACCTTTGCCCTCCCCCCCCGGGGCGACGACAGCTGACAACGGTAGAAGATCCCGCCCCCTCTACCCCCCCCCCATTTCCACTCCCCCCCCTCCCCTCTACCCCCCCCATCTCCTCCCCCCTACCCCCTCTATGCCCCGCCCCTCTACCCTCCCCCCCGCCTCCCTCCACACCGCCGAGCGCGGCTCGCCATGAGTCGCGCTCTTCCTGCGAATGTCAAATTTAGGCGAATTGAAGCCAGGCACAGGACTAGGAGATGTTGACTACCTCGCCTGGTGTACAGGAGGTCGTGGGTTCTATCCCTCTCTCATCATCACGGTGGCTAGGAGATGTTAACTACCTCGCCTGGTGTACAGGGGGTCGTGGGTTCTATCCCTCTCTCATCATCACGGTGGCTAGGAGATGTTGACTACCTCGCCTGGTGTACAGGAGGTCGTGGGTTCGATCCCGAGATGTTGACTACCTCGCCTGGTGTACAAGGGGTCGTGGGTTCGATCCCGAGATGTTCACTACCTCGCCTGGTGTACAGGGGGTCGTGGGTTCGATCCCGAGATGTTCACTACCTCGCCTGGTGTACAGGGGGTCGTGGGTTCGATCCCGAGATGTTCATTACCTCGCCTGGTGTACAGGGGGTCGTGGGTTCGATCCAGAGATGTTCACTACCTCGCCTGGTGTACAGGAGGTCGTGGGTTCGATCCCGAGATGTTCACTACCTCGCCTGGTGTACAGGGGGTCGTGGGTTCGATCCCGAGATGTTCACTACCTCGCCTGGTGTACAGGGGGTCGTAGGTTCGATCCCGAACCTGACGCAT